ATGTCATATGATTTTACTTATAAGTGGAGTTTAAAAACAAAATAAACATAAAAACAAAACAGAAACAAACTCATAGATACAGAGAACAGTTTGATGTTTGCCAGATGGGAGAGGGGTTGGAGTCGGTGAAAAGGAGAAGGGATTAAGAAGTACAAAGTGGTTGTTATACAGTAGTCATGGGGATGTAGGGTATAGCATAAGAAAAATACTCAATCATATTGTAATAACTATGATGTCAGATGGGTACTAGATCTATCAGGGTGATAGATGGGAGGGAGGTTGGGGCAAAAGGTGAAGAGATTAAGAAATTACAAAATTGTAATTACAAAATAGTCATGGGGATGTGAAGTATGGGGAATGTAGTCAATAATATGGTAATAACTATGTATAGAGCCAGGTGGGTACTAGACTAGTCAGGGGGATCACTTTCTAAATTATATAAATGTCTAACCAGTATGATGTACACCTGAAACTAATATAAAATAATATCGAATGTCAATTCTAGTTCAAAAATTAAAAAGGGGAGAGGGAATAAAGAAGAATAAGAGGTTCAAACTTCCAGATATAAAACAAATAAGTCTTGGGAATGTAATATACAGCATAGGAAATATAGTCAATAATATTGTAATTGCATGGTATGGTGTCAGATGGTTGCTGGACTTATCATGGTGATCACTTGTTTATCACAGGAATATAATCAATGTGGTAATATCTCTGTATAATGCCAAGTGTGTCCTGTTGAATAACTACGACGCACACCTGAAACTAATATAATATTGTGTGTTATCTATATTTTAATTAAAATTTTTAAAAAATACATTAAGATGAAGTTGAGTTTTTTTCACTTGATATTATGAAACATTAATATTTTCTAAGAAGAAAAATCACATGGAAATCTCCACAGCTGCAGAAAAGGCAAAAATGGACAAAAGTCGATGTCCATTTATGTTTTTTTTTTAATTACTTAATAAAATTGGAACTAATGAAAAAAACAGGGGAATAGGAGAATAAAAATATATTCTATCAAGTCAACAGAAATAAAGACTGGAGGGCTGGCCAAGTGGCGCATTGGTTAAGAACTGGCTTGGGACGCCAGAGGGCCCCGGTTTGGATCCCACATATGAGGGCCAGTGACACTGCCCTCTACAGCTAAGATGCTGAACAACAGCTCAACATGGAGCTGGGCTGCTGTGAGTTGCCGGTGACGGCATAGGCTGCAGCCCCTGTGGCAGTGGGTTGCCATGGGCTACCATGTGTAGCCAGCAGCCAGCGTGAGCGGCCAGCAGCCGCAGTGAGCGGCCATCCAGAAGCCGGCGACTGATCTGCCTCACCCGGGAAGAGCGCAATGATGGTGCCAACTTGGGCCAGTGAAGCAATGTCCTCCACAACTAGACTGAAGAACAAAAGGACAGCAACTTATCTGTTCCCCTTCCCCTAATTCCCCAGCACTGTTCCCATCCCCCAATTCCTCAATAAAAATCTTTAAAAAAGACAGAAAGAAAAGAAAAGAAATAAAGACTGGGAAAGAGTAAAGTAAAATAAATGGTAAATTTTAAATAAAATGAAAGGGATAAAAGTCAAGGCTAACATATGTTATCCAGAATTTCCAGATCAATAAACAGACTATTATACTGTGTTAAAAACAACATCATATTCTGTGTTGTTCACAAGAAATACACCTAGAGTAGAGTGATAAACATTGAAGATGAGGGAGACACAAATACACCAGCAAATAAAAATAAGCAAGCCATCAGACAAACAAAAAGCAATAGCAATAATCTCAATATCAGACAAATCTCAATTTAAAGTCAAAAGCATTTAACAGGATAGATGGTGTGATGATAAAAAGTGTAATCCATATGATACTATAAGAGTCATATACACTTTGTACTAAATAACATATCAATCAAATCAAGTCTTCTAAAAATACAATAAAACTTGAATTTAAAATATGAATACACTTTTAAAATTTTACAGATCAAGTTGGCAAAAAATAAAGAATGAAGTTTGATTAAGGATATCAACATTTACTAATTACTTGATTAGTTAACTCCTTTCTTACATCCAAGGAACTTTTACAATATCGATTACAACTTTAGCCAAAGGAAAAGCTTTGTCAAATTCAAAAATCTACAAGCTAGAGTCTTTACTAAAAATCAACAATTAAAATATCATTAAAACATAGAGTTCTTGAAAATGAAGGAAATCTCTTGGGCTAGATTAAAAGGATATCAAAATCTAAATTACAAAAGAATACAAAGAATAGAACTCAATCTAACTGATGATGTGTGGGTGTATTATTTAGGAGACAGTATTGTTTGATGGTGAGTCAGCCTACCTGGAACTGTGTGAGTCTGGGAAAGTTACTTAACCTCTCTGTGCCTAAATGTTCTCACCATTGCAAAATAATGATAATAACAGCATTCCCCCATAGAGATGTGCTGAAGAGTAAATAAGAATGCACATATAGCACCTAGGAGTCTAGCACATAATTAGTGTTGTTGATGATTTGTATCTAGTTGTCTTCATTCCTTCCTCCACTTACCTTCTTCCCTCATTCCTCTCCTTTCTCATTTTTTAAATCCTCTACAATGCGTTTCTAATACTTTGGTAATAAAAAAATACATAAAGATGGAGCTATGTCATTGCTAATCGCATTATTAGTAAAATTCAAAGGAAAAAAACACAATTAAATAAAAAATATAATCATTCCTTAGGTCACTGTAACTGATATCCATCCTCCATTTTGCAGGTGGGGGTGTGTCAGGCGGGGAGAAGGTGCAAAACCACTTAGATCAGTTTAATTTGTGGCTACTCCAAGCAGAAAAAAAGGGCTGGATTCTCAGAAGGCTACCTACTGGGTCCTACCATAATTTCTACAAGAAGAGCTACAGTCTCTTTTGTCTCCAAGAGAGATGTAGCAAGACAGAAAGCAAAAATAGCCTGTGAGACCTCGGGCTTTCATTTCCAAAGCCTCATTTCAGAAGAAGGAAAAAAAGATATTGGTGTAGACTTTTCCCAAACCTCCTGTGACCGCTCCCAGAGTTGAAACAGAGTCTGCAGAAGATGGACAGTGAGAGAGGAAGCACATGATCTGTGGCTCCCAAGACAGGGAGCATCCAGGCAGCATGTTCAGCAACTGAAAAGACCCCAAAACGAACTGGCTGTGGGACACACTGATGCAGGAGCCAAAGTGGGTGGCACCCAAGAGGACCCCATGTCCTAAGGGTTACATAGGTGCAAAGCAGAGTACCGAACCCAGGAGGCTATACCAGATGAAAAGGTTGGTGTCCGGCAGTGCCTGGCCTCTAAGGACAGATCATGCAAGGACCAGGTGGACACCCACTACCAGACATCGGTCCTATGCAAGCCCTGGGATTCTGACAGAATTTTAGGTGTCAGAAAACCCCAGGAAACAGTGATATCAAAGTCTCCCAGTTGCCCAACAGAACAAAGGCCCAAAATGAATTTTATTTTAGAAAATAAAGTAATACTTTCTTGCACACCTGAGTTTGCAGGGTTAGACTCATACTTGCCACAGTATTCTTCCTCAGCCTCAAGGCAAACCCTTTGCCAAACTATAGAGTCATGCTATCTAGTCCGGATGAGACTGGCATCCATAATCACCGCAGTGAAATAGCTGGGTAAGGATTTCTCTTTAATATGCTTTACAGCCCTTTTAGGAGACAAATCTTGGAGATGTAAGTTCAGTTTTGCTGCTCTGTGTTGTGCTGTGAAGACCACCTCTGAGATCCTTCCATTTCCCTCCTGTTCCCTTTGCCCACTTCACAGAAAAGAAAATTGAAGATAAGAATAGAAACAATGCCCCTAGTCCACAGAGCTGGACAGAGTGGAGTTGTGGCTGCCCGGGGGGGATGGAGGATGGAGAGTCTTCTCTCTTCACAGATCCAGGCAGGACGTTCTTCCTTAAAGCCCTAGGAACCCATCCATCCTCACCCTCCCAGGAGCTACAGACACTCACCCACAAGACACGTGGGACTGCTGCATAGGACACTGTCCCAAAGGCATGATCCCAAAGGCATGATCATATGTTCAGTTTTACTGCTGGTCCCCTGAGATACAGATACGGTCACAAAGAATCAATCTCTCTCTCTCTCTCTCTCTCTCTCTCTCTCTCTCTCTCTCTCTCTCTCTCTCTCTTCTCCACACCCTCTGAGCTTGTCCTAGGGCTTGGCATGTAGCACGTACTCAATAAATATTTGTTGACACTGATTCCACTGCTATGTAATTGCTACAATCACATGGTAATATAATAATTAGATTAAAAATAGCATCTACAATTTATTATAGAAAGCACTTTGTGTGTGTCATCTCTAACACAATGACCTTCCATAGGCATCATCACAGGCATTATACAGATGAGAAAAGCAAGAGCCAAGGTCATACACCTAGCAGGGTTCTGAGTCTGCACTGTCCCAAACCAGATCAAAACCACACTATAAAAAACATGATTGCTTTCCTCTAGCTAAAATTATCTAATGCCCTTTAAATTTACTCAGTGGGGTTAGGTTTTTCATCTGCTCCTACGATTAATTTCTAGGACTTTCCCAGTCACTTCTGGTTATTATAAAGTCCTGTAGTCATTTGAAGTCACAAAGCTCAGCCTTGATTATGAAATTAGGAGGCCTGACTCCATATAATAATCAACACTTCAATCTTAATTTGAAAATAAGATTTATCCTCTTCTGCTAGAGTTTCCTGCAGTTACAAAGCTCTCTCTTCTTGCTCTCCTCTTTCCTAACTGCTACCTGCTGTTTTTTCAGTTTCTTAATATTTTAAATATGGAAAGTTCTAAGTACACACAAATGTAAAAAAAAATAGTACAATAAATCCATTACTCGCTTTTAGCAATTATCGCCTCATCAGTTCATGGCCAATATTATATCAACTCCTTCCCCACCCACCATCAGCTGATTGCCATTTCTGCCCCTGCCAGTGTTGGCCCATCGAGAAGTTAAGAGAGCAGGAAAAGTTCTTACCTGAGTAACAGTGTTGTAAGCTCTTCTGTACTCTCTGGACCCGGTCAGCGTTTAAAGCAGAACTTGTCTTTAATGGGGAGCTTTCGTGGGTTCTCTGCAGAATCCTTCTGTATCTCTCCCCTGCTGTTCCTGTGATGGGAACAGACACGACTCTGTTTTGGTGAGTGGCTTGAACTCTCTGTAACACCCCTGCAATCTGGTGATCCACCTCTAGGGTTTTTCTGTTGAGGTCCTGCCAGACTAATTGCACAGGACCAGCTCCCTCATTTGCAGAGCCGTCATCTGTTCAGTAGAAAACTTTGGGGAAGGACATGGAGAAGACAGGACCACTGGTCGATCGTCGAACTGGACCCAGGCAATTGGAGGCTCCTCACCTCCTCCCCGTTTCTTGCAATGTGCATTCTGCTTGCCTTCCATGAGCTAGAAGCTGCCCCAAGGACACAGCCTTGAGAGAGTAAGGTGTTGCAACCATCTGGAAAGTACACGTGGCTTCTGTGTAAACTTTAAGATTCCAATGAGCAAATGCAGAGACCTACCCATCTTGCACTTTCTCAAAGCAAGCCTCATATGTAAGTTCCCTTGTTTATTAAACCTGCCAATTACCAATCTGGGGTGGTTTTCCACTTTCTTCAGTCTCTCCTTGCCCTGTGTGTACAACAGCCAGTTTGTGAGCCAACAAAAACATTCAGGCAGCCCTTGTGCTAATCAATTCTGGGAGCACAGACAAGTATCAACCTGGTCACCTTTCCTTCAGGTGTTTCATTTGCAGTGAGCCTGTCTCTCACCCTTTACATTTCTCTGCAGGACCCTTACTAAGCTCGCATAGTACTTCTGCAGAAGCACCTCTTACTATGCTTAAAGTGAGGGACAGGCACCCCAACACCTTTCCAAAAAAATTATTTATCCTTCCCTACCCTCTTATGCCCTTAATGTGAAGAAAAATTTAAGTGCCCCAAATCAGTGCTACCCAAAGGGTGGTCTGAGCAAACTAGTTAAGGACCTTGTGCTGGACTGTAAGTCAATGCAATGCTTCTTTCATCAGAAAGTCTTAAAAAAAAAGTTAGCTGAACTAAATTATGTGCTAGGGATATTGTTGATTTCCTTTCCAGTTCAAGTTCCTTGTGTCATTGTGGACTGGTAATAAACAGCTCATGGACCGGCTTAAACAGTTCTTGGCCATTTATTTTGGAAGTTATCCATGATGAAAACATCAAAATACAGCATTTGTTGTTCCTGCCAAAAATTGGTTCCTCAACCAAAACTGAGACAGGGAAGAATCCCATTATAACACTGAGGTATGTAAGAAAAGATTAAGGACTTGGACATACACAGAGAAATTACAAAGATCCAGATTCTAGAAAGTTTTTATAGGCACGGTCTCCAATCTTGAGTTCCTGCACCTCTGAGATGGTCACTTGCAATCCTGTGAGTCACCTGCTTCCACTTTACAGCTGAAACAGAACACACGGCTTCACACCCATGTCCCTGCTTCTTAACCACTTCAGAGCAAGCGGCCTGATTTTCTACTTCAAGCGCTGCATTGCCTTGTCTCTAGGCTTTCTCTCACCAAAGAGTCTGCTTTGCTCTCCCACCACATCAACACATGGCTGAGGAGTTCACATATGAAGAACCTGTCTCCCTCACTCCTTCAGGAGATCACTCCAAGGCACATGCTCCTCGTTGGTTCTCAGTTACCCAACAAGGAGCTGGCAAGAAAAGTCACATCCACAGCCTGAGAGCTCTCCAAAGGGAGGATACTCCCAGACTAGCTGCAACTTCTGGAGAGAAGCTCACCAAGGCAGCTGCAGCTTGGCAATTAGGAGGCCCTGAGAGAAATATGGGGACAAAGTGCTGCTTGCCCTGTGCGTATTTCATCAACATGTACTATAGGCAAAGGGCCATCAGAAGTGAGAGTAGGAGAGGCATGGCCCTGGCGTGATCATAATCTTTCCAAAGAGATTTAAGGTTGGCACTTAGAAACTCCTCACCCAACTCTTCCTGGACCACCCACTTGGGCTTCCTATTATCTGTTATCTAGATCATGGGTCAGCAAACTTTTGAGACAGAAAAGCCAATCCTGTCCCTCACAACAATTTAAAAATTATTCAAGAGCCATAAAACAAAAGAAATCACCATTATGTGAATAATATCCTTTAAAATTTTTATAAATGAAACTATGATAGTTTTCTTTTCATTTTCAATTTTACTTCAGAGCCACATGTACGTACCCAAAGAGCCACACATGGCTCGCAAGCCGCGGTTTGCCGACCTCTGATCTAGATTGTTCATTGCTGATTCCCCAATTCTAAAGAGATCCTTAAATTCAGTTTCTCAAACCCCCTTGCTGGGGTGACGAGTCACCCCATGGTGCAGATACTGACAGTGCCTTTCCCAGACTCAGCACCTGGTCCCTCCCTTGCTCTGGTCTCACCCTCAACGTGCCTGCAGAGGCGCTGAGGGCTGCTGTGCTGCTGACCATCCTGCTCTGGTAGGCAGCTCCGAATTCAAGCCCCAGGTACAAGGATGATGAGGCCGAGGCTGTGAGTTCAGAAAACTCATGATCTAATGGGAAGGCTGGGGAGGAAACAATTACAGACAAATGCGGTTTCAAAGTTTTGTAGCAGAATATTGACTGTACAATATGGGAAGGACCCCTAAAAATAAAACAAAAACAGGTGTGGTATTTTGGGGAAACCATGTCTTCCTTTTGCACTTCCATTTCCTTACCTTGAACATTCAAACTATAATCTTCTTCAGGGGTTTTTGAGGACTCAGTGAACTGACTTGTAAAAATATTTTGTAAAATGCAGAGTGTGATAAAATGAAAGGGGTTGGGTAATATTTGAATAAATTATATGTTCATATTATATAGCTCTTATTATTTGTTAATGGGTATACTAAGTGTGTCACATTATCCTTCTGACATTACATATAAAATTCATCACAAACCATACCTAATCTCTCAATAACCCATGCCAGCAATAACAGGAATATGTCCAGAATCCCTCTACTTCTCTCCACCGCTGCTGCCACCACCCTGGTCACTCTGTCCACGCCACCCCCAAACCCCCCTCACTCTCTACTCCTGCTGCCCAGCATCTGCCTTTTCCCAGCAGGCATTTACTTTTTACCTGTGGTAAAAACAGATGATGCTTTTTAAACCTAAGTCAACAAGTCACTCTGCCATGTGAACCCCGCTGACACCCCACAAGTCCCCAGAGGGCCCCCCAGGCTGGGTGTTACCTGGTCCCTGCCCCTCTGACCACCTCGCCCCCTGCTTCTGCCCCTTGTTCTTTCCGCTCCAGCCATGCCAGCTTCCTTGCTGCATATTAAACAACAGCACATTCATGTCTCCGGGCATTTGAAGTTGAACCTCTGCCTGAGATGCTTTCCTCCAGATGTCTCTGCTCACTCCTTCCCCGACTTCAGGCTTCTGCTCAAACACCACCTTCTCTGTCAGAGAGGCATTCTCCAAGCTCTAGTATAAAAAGCAAGCTGCCTCCAGCAGCCAGCTCCACATCCTGTACCGGATACATTCCTTCACCTTCTTCCACTGCGCTTACGCCATCTCACATACTAGATATATGTTTGTTTGCTTACGACCTGCCTCCCCCAGTAGACTCTAATTCCTGGGGGGCTTATTTTGTTTTGTTCACCTGAAGAGTGAGTGGCACACAGCAGTTTCCTAATACACTTTCGTGTGAATGAGTGAATAAATGAATGACAAATTGATCAATCAATTAAATAATAATATGCATAACTCATAGAACGTTACAAGAATCATAGAAAAATGGGCATCAGGAACCTTGTAATCTGTAAAGCAACGCTGATTCAGGTTTTTAATGCGGTGGTGCTGGGATGAACCAGGACACCTCGGTACACAAGTCTTAGTGTGTGTCAGAAATAACCTCATCCAAACCACAGCCTTTATCCTTTGCCTCCTAGAAGCATAGACATTGGCCTCCAACATTTTTTTCAAGCATCCTGAATGGACAGGCTCCGCTGTCCCTTTGCACCCGACAAGAACTCCACAATAGCAGAAATCCAACTCCCCACCCGTGAGCTCTATTTATCCACCTTGATGCCTCTTTATGAAAGTTAAAGTGGTCAGAAGCTGGGAGAAGCACAAATGTGCGGCTCGCACTATTGATTTTTCCCTCCTCTTGCAGGGACCAGGCTGCCAAATTGTATGGCTACAAAACAGGCTAAATGGCCTGGCAGGGGTCCCCCCACAGGGCTCTTCCCTGATCTCCACCTCCCACCGGAGCAACTCAAAAGACCCCTGTTTCTCTCTCCTCTGCCGTGGATCTTCCAGACCCCGAAGCCACTGCAGCCTCAGTAAATGGCCCAGCGGTCGGTTTCTGCCATTCTTATTTTTAGGTCTGATGCTGTGCCCAAAGAGAAAATAAAAGCAAATAAAACTCAGGCCACTGCTATTGATCTCCAGTTATTTCGGAACGTTGCTACAGCAACAACCAGGAGCTTGATAGTCAATATCTTTCCTTCCTCCTTATGCCCTCCTCCACCACATCGAGAGGCCCAGAACCAGGGCCGTGCAGACAGCATCAGCCCCGTGTCCTGTCATAAGGGCTCCGTCCAAGGCTTTGGAGGACAGAGTCACCCAGGGCCAGACCAGGCAATCATCTCAGTCCACATGGCCCATTCACTGACAGACCAGTCCCTCAGCCCAGCTTGGCCCTAAGATGACTCATAAAGGGAGGCTGAGCAAGGAACTGATGACCGTTGTACACTGTTGAAAGCACAGGGAGAGAAGAGAAGTGACCTGCAACACTTTAAAGACAAAAGTTTTACAAGCTGGACTTTCTCTGCTTCCCTCTAAGATCCTGAGCCACTCCTCAGCAACTCTAGCAGTAAAATAAGAGACATTTGATTTGGGGGATCCTGCCCACTTCCCCTCCAGGCTGCTCAGGGACCTGATGTGCCCGACCCCCACTCCATTCCACCAGGGACCTGGCTTCCTGCTCAGGCCAGTGCTATCATTTTCTTTCTCTGTAAAAGATCGCAGCAAGAATCAGGTTAAACTATGCATGCTGAGTGACACGTGACAAATAGTAACATAGGCTTGTGGGAGGACAGCTTTAAGTTCAGGTCAGGTCAGGTCACTCTGGCAGCCTACAGCCTAATAATAATTCCACTAATGAGAAGAGTGCACATAAGATTCCAGCACATACAAGTGCGAGCCAGGATGTCCCAGAGGCTCTTGTGTGTGAGCATGAGAGGTTAAACAGCAAACCCCTCGGCTGCTGCTAGAGTGCATGGTTGATGGTGTGACAAGGAGAATAACTTTATGGGAAATAACTTCCAGGTAATAGGTAGCACATTCAGAGCTATTCTATTCCCACCTGAAGCAAGGCAGTCTCTAAAACCCTTCACACACTGGG